GGTCAAACTTCCATAGCTCTTCAGCAATCAACTTGTGATTATCACTCCAGATACTTTCAGCTCACCTTCACTGCGAATTACTTGTTGAGTCTAAGACTGATCACCTTAGCCTCTGAAGACTTGATCTACTACAGCCTACGACCTACGACCTACGACCACGACCCCAGTGCACTGTTTAAACGTCAATCCCCAACTTCTGTTAGCAGACCCTACTGTCGGATAGCTGACCGTAACACCTACGGATGAATCTAAGCGTAACAGGTCTGGGTGTGGGGTGGAGACCGTCTCCGTTTCTAAGTGTCTACGCGGCTATATTTCCTATTTGCATGATGGATTTTAAGCTTTACATGGATCAGAACGACAGTAAGGATGGTTATCTAATAATATGTGTGTGACTATTATCCCATCGACTGCGAGATGACGTCGGTACATACATATGCGGGGTAGTAGCGAATTATGTTTTAATCCGACTTATATCCTTTTATTCCCGCGAATTAAAAGCTTTTAAAAGGGGTAGATTTGGAGAAAAGTGGGTTATGCTTATACCGACGTTATCTCGCAGTCGATGGGATAGCTATCACCATAGACACGTTTAGAGACAGCAACAATAATAGCGATAACGACGTTGATGGTCATAGAGAGTATGTCAGAGAAGTTGTCTTTTTAGCACAGAGAGAATAGTTGGTCTTCTAAGTAAGCTCGTAGCAGTAGACTGCCCCCGCAGTAAATCTACCGCAGCATGTGGCATTCATTGTTTGACGGGTAATGTTGCAATGCACCTCATAGCTAATCTCTCGGGTCACGACTGGCTATTACTTCACTCACAGGCGTCGGAGCAACGCTACACGTCCAATCCCCGTCTCACCGGTTGACGTGCAGCTTTGCGGGCGCTCAAGAACAGTGTCACTCCGGCCCTTCGACAAATCATCCGTGAAGAATCAAAGGAGACGCCCGCAGAGACCCCTATTCTGACCACATGCTACGTGCGGACTGGAGAGTTTGATCCACGACAGCAAGATGCCTACTGTTCATTGGTCCAGCATGATGGGTGGCCGTCCATGTAGTGCGCCATGGCGCCCGCTGAACTGCATCTTGAAACGTGATATCAGGGAATGCTCCAGTGTGACTGCTAAAAGAACGGCGGTTTATATATTCAAGAAGACAGCCATGAGTGATTGTTGTCTTCAACATCCTTTACTTCCAGGGTAAAGGTTTTTGAACCAAACGCCCAACGCAAAGACGCATCACTGAAGATACTGGCAATGTTTTCAGATGTCTGTTTATCTTACCCTATCTATCTAAATTTACTTACAGATAACTCACTAGGGAAAGGATACGCGGCCGTTTGGTCTGTTGCTGCTGAAGACTGCTTACATGTGTACGATGTAAGACCGGTGAAGTCTTGCCATCAGCGGGAAAATACTACAAGACTCCGTGACGAAATCGAAAATAAGACGCATAATCAGCAAAAAAAAAAGGTCATTTTGAATGTTGAAGGAATTCCCTCTCAACACTAAGAAGAATCTTGATCTTATCACCGTGATTGACAACACGGAGGGGTTTTCACCGACTTCGGAGAGTGTCCGGCGGCATGGGACTTCAAAAATTGGTCAATCCAACTGCCAGATTCGGAAACGTCATTTCTGTCTGTCTGTCCGCTGGTCGTTCTCTTGCATTGAAAGAGCATGCGAGCTCTCGAGCCCAAAGATCAACCCCACGCCGACGTCACGGCAGACCGTCGGGCATAGGAGTCGAAGTTGGCCGAAAACCCCGCACAACTACTGACATGGGCTTCGATAGGCGAAGCTTGTTTCCACATCCAGCTCTCAAGCCAGCATGGCTAGCAGTTGAACTGCATGCTCGGCAGCGAGAGCCTGGCTGTTTACCTATCAGCACGTATGCGAGCTTATCATGATCCATACCCCAGGATCCGGCCGGGAAGTGGGAAGTGGGGCTGGGATGGCGGTCGCCCCCGAATCTACGGCACTTCGTTATTCTTTGAATTTCTTCATTGAAGTTCATCTGGCAAGTCCTGATTCAATTGTTTGAACCGCTAGATCAGATTAGACTTATTAACAAGTGGAACTCAGATAGTCACCACAACGTTTAATTCGCCTTCCTCCCCAGCGAGAATTTTGGCGCACATGGTCCAGCTCGCATCTGGCATGCCTGGCTTGCCGGTTGGCTAGGTAGTCCGAGATAAGAACGGGAGATAAGCAGACTGCGACGTCAACTTAGTCTCTCCGGCATTACGTATGCTTCATCTCAAGGATAACCTTACCTATCGTTCAAGAGGCGCTCCAACGGCTTCGGCCGTCATGGGATCGATGGCCGCTGCCAACCACGTGGGGTTCAACCGAAAACACCAGTTAGGAATTCCATGCACAAGTCGCCGCAATCACTGGCAATTCCCTACGGGACCGCTCCAGATTCCTATGCTAGAGCACTTACTTTTCTTGTAGGCCTATACTCTATAACTAGGTAGTTTTAACGCTGTTATCGTCGTCATTTTCGTCATTGGTATCGTTGCCCATCGTCATCATTCGTCGTTGTTATTTCTTCCACTTTCTTTCATCCCTTCTACGATTTATCATCCTCCCCGCATCAAGCTCACAGGCAACTTTTGATGACCCCACATGCCCAGCCTCTCCGCATGGCCGGCAATGCTGGAGCCGTCCATCCACCCGATGAGCAAGGACCGGCCCTGGGAGAGAACCCGCAGGACTGGGCCCCAAGATAACGAACCGATAATCCGTTTCTTCGCGGCTTGCGAGGAGAATCCAGTCGATTGGTCGAATGTTTCTTCTCGGACCTACTATCCAAGCTTGGCCTTGGTCTTATCAATCGATGCTCCGCAGCAACGCACCCTGGTGATCTCGACAGCCGAGCTGGTGGCAGGCAAACCAACGGCCAAGATTCGCTGAACAATCGTGTTTGGCAGCACATCATCATCTTAAAGCTGGAATTTGGGATGAACCGCGACCGAAAGTCCCGCTGGCCGCGGCCCGCGATATCAGCATCCCCCGGCTTGTCTACCACGGGCCGGAACTGAATTCAGCAACTCTGTGCGATCATCCCGCTTGTGGGTGGGGTACATCACAAAGGTTCCTGCATGATAGCAAGCCCGGTCACGTAGCTCGCATCTCAATGTTTGTCGGAACGGTCTGGTGTCGAACCGAGTTCTGCAAATGAGGCTCCCGCTGGTTGGCGGCTCGACCTACTGTTCAAGGTTAGTCCAGATCAGGGTACGGATGTTGGTTGTGACATGGGAAACCGCTGTCAGTCGATAGTCTAATGGAGGTATTCTAGATTCTCGTTGATACGACTCCATCACCGGTGTCGGGGTTGGCCAGTATTGCGACATCATCGCCGGATATCTCGCCGATGGAGTTCAGAGAGAGTCCCGTACATAAAGAACACCAGCAGTCTCATGTAGATATGATATCTCAGAGCTCCAAGCGCCTCTTTGGGTATTCCATCCTGCCTGACAAGACAACTGCACTTCAGATAAGATGGGCTTCTCTTCGCTCACCCGCACCCTCGGTCTGGGAGCCCTGCTTCTGCTCGGCTCTGATGTCATCCCTCAAGTGAATGGCCTCCCTAAGGCCCCATGGGCTCAGCAGCGCGCCAAAGGCCATGGCCGCAAGGCCCTCGCCCATGCTATGAGCAAACGCCAGCTCAGCAACAGCTCAGAGCCTGCGGACTGCGTCGTCCATGACCCCAATGACGTTGACGCCCCGAAGGAGAATATCTGGAGCGGCTTGACCGGCCCCGAGGCAGCCGGCGTCACGGAGTGGCTGTTCGCTCAAACGGAGCTGAACCTCACACAGAGTGAGAACGCCACCTCATGGGATAACACCATGTAAGTGAACCAGATTCCAGCTGCTCGGGACGTAGACTAACATCGGTAGTGTTCTTGTGGAGCTCATGGCCCCCAACAAGTCCGAAGCACTGGCATACATTGATGGCAGTGCCGCGGCCCCCGCCCGCTACGCCCACGTCTTGATCGACTTCAGCGCTTCCGAAGACCCGGAGTACCAAGATATCATCGTCGGCCCTCTTCCTGTCACTAACGGCACCACCAAGTGGGAGAGCCTTGACTACCCGTACACCCGCAAGACCAGTGGCCGCGTCCGCAACCTGGATGCCGATGATGATCTCGCCCAAGATTGGCTCTACGACGTCAGCAAGACCGTCGCAGATATCACCCTGGACCTGTGGAACGCTACTGCTCTTGGCCTCGACAACGACACCCTTACCATCTGGGGCATTGACCCTTACTACCAGGACGATGGTCGTGTCCAGCGCTGGGACACGTTCTGGAGCATCCCCAACACAATCTTCGACGTCGAGTCCATGATGCCCATGGGTCTGTTCTTCATGTCAGACGTCACCGGCCGTGACCCTTCTCAATGGACTGTCGAGGGATGGTACTACAACGGCATCTTCTACGAGACCACTGAGGAGTTCCGCAACGCTTACTGGAGCGGAAAGGTCGAGAAGCTTGGCGGCAACTGGGCTGGAGACTGGTCTGCGACCGACCAGCAGGGCGAGGTCCTCCCTCTTGACACCAACGCTCCGCCCACCTCAGTCGCCCCCCAAGGTGCCAGATACTCCGTGGACCCCGACAGGAAGTACGTCGAATGGATGGGCTGGAGCTTCTACGTCGGCTTCACGCGCGACACCGGCATGGCCCTCTACGACATCCGCTACAAGGGTCAGAGAATCCTGTACGAGCTTGGCCTTCAGGAGGCCTTGGCTCACTACGCCGGCAGTGACCCTACCCAGTCTCACGTTGCCTACCTCGACACCTACTACGGATTCGGCCCCTTCGCCTTCGAGCTTCTCAAGGGATACGACTGCCCGTCATACGCCACCTACCTGAACTCCTCCTTCTACGTCTCCGAGACAACCCACACCCACCTGAACAGCATTTGCCTCTTCGAGTACGACGCCGACTACCCGATGGCTCGCCACAGCTCGCAGGAGTACGTCACCGCCACCAAGAACGTCTACTTCACCGTTCGCTCCGTGTCCACTGTCGGAAACTACGACTACATGTTCAGCTACTCCTTCTTCCTCGACGGGTCTGTCGCGGTCGAGGTCCGCGCCTCCGGCTACATCCAGGCTGCCTTCTACGCCAAGAACGAGGGCTACGGCTTCAAGATCCACGACAACCTGTCCGGCTCCATGCACGACCACGTCCTCAACTTCAAGGCCGACTTCGACATCTTTGGCACGGAGAACAGCGTCCAGCGCATGCACCAGGTGCCCACTACCCAGGTCTACCCGTGGTCTAAGGGCAAGGCCCTCAGCACCATGAAGGTCGAGCGCGAGTTCATCGAGAACGAGGACCAGGGCCGGTTCGACTGGAGCTACAACAACCAGGACCAGCTCTTCGTCCTCAACCAGGAGGTCAAGAACAGGCACGGCGAGTACCGCGCCTACCGCATCCTGCCCTACACCGGTCTCGCGCACCTGACGGTGAAGGACTCCAACGTCCTCAAGAACGCGGCCCGATGGGCTGAGCAGGACATCATGGTCTCCGTCCGCAAGGACACCGAGCCCCGCAGCAGCCACCCATACAACAACCAGGACGTCGAGAACCCGCCCGTCAACTTCAACGACTTCTTTGACGGCGAGAGTCTGAACCAGACGGACCTGGTGCTGTGGCTCAACCTCGGCATGCACCACGTCCCGCATACCGGCGACCTGCCCACCACGGTCTTCACCACGGCGCACTCGGGCATCCAGTTCATGCCGGCCAACTACTTCGAGGTCGGCCCCAACGTCGAGACGGTCAACATGGTCCGCATCAACTACCACGACGGCAACACCACGGACGTGTTGACTTTCGGAGCCGAGACCGATGCTTGCGGCTTGGATTACGAGCCCACCCAGGTGGACCTGTGGGAGTACAAGGGCGATGTTGTCGTTCGCAAGTTTCCCTACTTGCCCGACGATCCTTATTATGAGACGGACAGCATTGTCTAAGTGATGCAGGTCTGAAATGTACATAATCTTAATGATCCTGGGATGAACATTCATGAGCATATGACAGAGACAAGGAGACGCAGAGAGAGAAGAGTAAGGCGGAGGAGAACAAATGCGAAGCGGGGTTGGTGGGGGAATCAGGGGATGCATTGTCTCCTCATGATGAAATTACAGTAAAAATAATTCCTTCTTCCAGAAACAGCACGATGCAGAATGGAAGTTTGATCGATCGGAATGGCGTGATATCTGACCACTTGTTTATTCTGAGGCACGGAAAGATGTGCATTCAACCGGTCGCAAGTTATTCCTGTCTTCATGGATACACCGTTGTGTCTGCCGACATATTAGCGCGGGTCGCAGTACAAAGTCGTGTTCCAGGGATCGGTCAGCCTCGGTTCACAATCTGTGTTAGGTATTTTCAACGCAAGAATGCGCAACCATCATCTAATTAAACAGGTTACAACTTTATATCAACGGTGATCCATGTTTCGCGTGTGCCCTTAGCGAACCACTGCCCAATGCTGGAGAAAAATAGCGACAGGATCTCGGACTCTGCAGTAAGACGACTGGTGCTGCAACCACATCGATGACTTCCACCAATCATGTCATTAAAGGCAGAGTTAAAATTGGAGATTCTGCCCGAAATAGGTATATTTTTCTGCTTTCCCCCTTCCTCAATGCCTCCCGTCCCCTCCCGTCTTGTCATCCACTCTCCCTAACAACGGTCAACATCCCAGGGAGCATGACAGGATCGACAGATCATCATCAGGGACGAAGAGGACGGGGTCTCCAGGAACAACGCAGGCGACAGCCCCGTCTTCACGCCTCCAAAATTCGAGACCGTGAGACCTGTACCGATTGTCAGGTCATTGATCATCGCTGATCGCCCGGAGCAGCCTCCGCGCGGAATCCACAACGTTCCTCGGTTGCAGCAAATATTGTGTCCCGGCCAAGCGGTCGCCCGGTCGCCCTACAGCAACAAGCGCCGGCCCCAACTCCCAGGTTTCCCCGGCTAGAAACATCACAGGCAGCAGCAGGGCCCCCCCAAAAACACATTCACGACGGTGTCGTCGATAATATCGCCGACGTGTCTTACGCAGAGAAACGGAGCATACCGTGCTGGCCCTAGCCGTCCATCCCTAGACGCCAAGTGACAGGTTCGCGAGTCCTCGGCAATCCCTTGAGACCTGGCCGGCGTTGGCATTCCTGGCCCGGGCACTTTTTATTTTTTGACAGCTCCCACAACTGTCTCTCTTTCGGTGGATGTCTCCCGACGCACACACGAGATGGATTCTTAAGCTATGTGGCTATCTCATGTTTCTGTTTATGTCTCTTCTTCCCGCGCTAGTGCCGGTAGCGCATGTCCTAGATCATGTAGCGACCGGCGTCGATTGGCCCTCCAGCTCGGCCGTGGCGCCAGCAACCAACCCTCGGATTGGGAGGACAAAGGCGCCGCGGGGTGTACCAGACGATGTCACGTAACCTGGCGGAAGCTTGAAAGCGCCTCACTCGTGGAGGTCAAGTCTCCCCGCAAGAGGCTTACTGGCTTCCACCTTGCCACATGCTTCTTCATGCTTCGCAATATCTCCAGCGTTCTCTCTTACTGTCACTACCTTGGACTTGCATTAGCTCGGCGCATGATTTCACGATCCCATCATTGCGGCCATTTTTGGAACCCCAGCAACATCCGGGACAACGTCTTGTGTCTTACCAGCTAGACGTCTAGATTCGCAGTCGTCATCGTCGGGCAGCAAAAGAGCTCCTCTTCTGCTCTCCCTCGATGCTGGGTGTTTCAGACATTCAGCTTGACAGGCCACATACGACTACCACTGCGAGGCACCGAGGTTCGAGATATGAGCATTCCGGCCAGCCTATCACATCTCAATCGCACGACAAACGGCAGTCTTCCCATAGTCTCCCATACCATCATCCCATCGTATCCCCCCGATGCTATCGAGGGGGTTCGAGATACGCCGCCGTCGCCCAGTCTGCGCCGAGCACGCGCATGAAGCCATCCAGCCACAACTTCGAGAAGCGACCTAGCGCGCTCTCTTCATACCAGAGGCTGTCGTTCGGTGTCTGCCACCTCGGTGTCTGCCATGACGCTCTACGGCTGCACGTCAAGGGCGGGAAACGGGAAAATGATAGGGATCCACCCCAATGTCTCCGTAAGTAAATCAGGCACTACGGTGACATGTCTAGCAGAGACAGACGAGTTCACCTTATTGAGGCTATTACCACGGGGATTGAGCCGGTTTAGCTCGCTGTCAATCCGCCTCACCAACAGCGCTGTCTCAATGTCTCCGAAGGACCGGATCTGAAGGCGATGTCTCACGGTATCCATCTTTTCCATTTTCTTTTCTTTCTCAGGTCCCAGCCGCTCTCGTGTACTCACCGGCAAGATACCCTGCAATGATTGTGCTTTGAACCGCGGAACCGCGAGCAATGCCCTTTCCGAGGCTGCCCGTCTCGGCCAAGAAGCAACAATATTCAGCCCCGGGATCGCATCTTTGACTCCGATCCGAGCTATTCGGTCGAAAAAGCAATTACGAATCCACATCTTGACCAATCCATCTCACAGATCTGAGGCGTAAAGAAACCATGAAGACGCCGTGCGCTTGCCCGATCGGAAGAATCCGTCTCCAGAGAGCTGGGTTGGCTGCGCACTAACACACGCGCACCCAACATCCCGCCTGCATGTGCTCTTCTTTCTTTCAACAGCCAAGCCACGCAAGCCATGGTTCCTGATCGACTTCTGCACACCGAGATGCAGGGCCAAGATAACCTCTGGCGCGCCACGTTGGGCCCGGCCATGCCCGTCTGTTCTGCTGGAGGAAAAAGCACACTGCATGGGACGAACACACCCTAGTCTCGGCAGCCAATCCCCTTTCAAGCGCACTCCCTCCAGCTTTCTGATCTGAACCTCCCACCCCATCCATCCATCTCACACCCAACCACCTCCCCTCTATTTTTGTGAGACTACCGGCTTGGCCGCACCCATTCCGACGGGACCTTTCAGCCGTCGACGCAACCGTGCCTCTCGAGGCGTACCTTCTTTTCTCCCACTACGCCACGTGACTAGAGTGCCTCCACGGCTTTTCGACCTCCCTCGTCCAAGTTTAGCTGTACCCGTCGATGGGCGCCGGGGCAAGGCCGGGGTCCTCGTGCCTGGGACGATGGGCCCAACCCAACGTCGCCGGGTTCTATTTTGGCTGCGGAGACTATTCTTCAGGCGTGGCGCTCACCTATGGCATCTACCGGTGGGCACCACATGTGACGGGTCATGAAGGCATTCGCCCTTCAGCATCATGAAGGGGGTCTATATCAGGCCATCGGGGTCCTCTCCCTTGGTGATCTTCTTTTCCCCATCACACCAGAATCAAAAAATCCAAGAACACCATTTCCTAGTCACTTTTTCCTATCTCTTTTCCTTTTTCTCTTATTTCCTTATTTCTTTTGTCTTCTCTATATCTTTGGCTTATTTCCTCATCTCCCATCACTTTGTCATCTCCTGTTCCGACCTCTTCTCATCGTCCTCTTTCGTTGGGTTTGAGCTGTCCTGCTTGTAAGTCGTCTTATGCATGATGAGGCCTCTCGAGCCACTGTACTGACAACATCACCAGTTCTTCCCTTACCCTCGCCGACCATGTCTTCCAATTCCGCCATGGCTTCCTCTATAACTCTTCCAGTCGAAGAAGTGCACCATGTCAACCCTGAGCTGTCTCTTACACCACCTGCGAGGGCCTTCTTCCCGTTGAACAGCCGCAACTCTTCAACACACACTCTCGTTGTTCCGGAGCCTGCTCACGAAGCCCCGACGTCCGTCGCTTCAACCCACGATTCCGACGACGATGAAGACGAGATTACCGTTCCCGATAAGAAAGGCAACCGGGCCTACCGGTTTCTGCGCTGGAACTTTGGCTCCGTCTACCGTCGCATCTTCACCATCGCCTTCCTCGCCAACATCGCGTGCCTCATCTTCGTCATCCTCAACTCCGTCCTCACCGGCGCCGCCCTGACTCCCCAGACCTGCGCCACAGCCGTCTCCGCCAACATCCTCGCGGCCCTCTTCATCCGCAACGAGCACACCGTCAACGCAATGTTCAAGGTCTTCGTCCTCTTCCCCGCCAAGGCTCCCTTGTCCGTCCGCCGCGCCTTTGCAAAGGTCTACTCCTACGGTGGCATCCACTCCGGCTGCGGCGTCGCCTCCTTCTTCTGGTTCGTCCTCTTCCTCGTCGTCCTCACCGCCGAGATGGACCGCCCCAGCTCCGCCCTGCGCGCCTACATCCTCCTCGACAGCTACCTCATCGGCCTCCTCCTCTTCCTGATCATCGCCTTCGCCCACCCGCGCGCCCGCGTGCTCCTGCACAACTGGTTCGAGGGCACCCACCGCTTCCTCGGGTGGTCCGTCGTCCTCCTTTTCTGGGCCCTTGTCATGATGCTCGCCGAGGACTCCAGCGACGCCGCCAACATCTCCTACGCCGCCTCCGTCGTCATGACCCCGTCCTTCTGGATGCTCATCGTCATCACCGCGCTCGTCGCCTACCCCTGGACCCGCCTGCGCCTGCGCGACGTCGAGGCCGAGGCCATGTCCGCCCACGTCGTCAAGCTCAACTTCGACTACGCCGACGTGCACTACGGCCAGGCCGTCCGCCTCACCGACGCGCCGCTCCGCGAGACGCACGCCTTCGCCGTGATCCCGAACCCCGCCGCTCCGACCGCTGCCGACGCCGAGAAGGGCCAAGTCAAAGGACTCAGCAACGCCGGCAAGAAGGGCTTCTCGGTGCTCGTGTCGAATGCCGGCGACTGGACAGACAAGATAATCAAGAACCCGCCCAAGAAGATCTGGACGCGCGGCGTCCCGCAGTACGGCGTGCTCCGCGTGGCCGGGCTCTTCGAGCCCTGCATTGTGATTGCCACCGGCTCCGGCATCGGTCCGTGTCTGAGTCTGTTTGTGCAGAAGCCCGATCACCCGGTGCGCATCATCTGGTCCACGCAGCGCCCCGCCGAGACGTACGGACAGGCGGTGATCGACACCATCTACAAAGCCGACCCGAACGCCGTCATCATCGACACCAAGAAGACGGGCCGTCCCGATCTGGTTGCAATTACGTACCGCATCTGGGAGAGCAGCCGTCGCCAAGCGGGTATTGCGCAGATTGAGAACGCCGGCGGCAAAAAGATGGGTCCTTGTGAGGCGGTGGTGATCATTTCCAACCAAAAGGTGACGAGGAAAGTCGTATACGGGCTTGAGAGCAGGGGCATTCCTGCCTACGGTGCGATTTTCGACTCTTAGACGGGGTTTGGGGTCAACCGAAGAAGGGGTAAAAAGGGATAGAGCACGCGTTTCTTTTTCATTTCAGGTGGCTTTCCTCGGAGACCGCATGCATCAGCACGGAGTTTGGCATAGCGGGCATCAGCGACACATAGACTTGGGCTCATTTACTGATCTTCTTTCACCCACTCATTAAGCTTTACAATACCATTGCAATTTTCATTCAATCTCATAAACCACTGAAATTCTACAACCTTCCTCTCGGGTGAGTTTTGAATGTGAATATGATGTTTACATCAAGTAAATGATGTGTGGATGGTATGCAAAGGGTACATAAGCAAAATTTTCTTTAGTCTGACCATCAGCCAATCACGGCACCCATATGGTCGGTTAGCTCAGTTGGTTAGAGCGTGGTACTAATATCTTATCTGAGGTATTCAGTAATGCCAAGGCCGGGAGTTCAAGCCTCCCACTGATCATTGTTTTTGTTATTTGCACATAATGTGCATGAGGTATTCAGAATCGCAAAAACGAAGGACACTCTTATTTATTCATGATGATGCTGTCAGTGGGTGGCGTTTAGGTCGGATGGAGGAAGGTTCGGCCCACGTTCCGCCAAAGGAAGGAATGTTTGTGGTGGGAAGCACCTACCAGCGATTGAAATACAGCACCCCACCTTCCCTAATTCCCGCCCTTTCTTTCCCTGTGCCAAACTTCAGCCAAACTTCAACCTCTCATCACCACAATCACCAACTTGTTTGTCCTGGAACACTAAAGTACGACTTACCGACCATCGTTAGATTCGGATCTCGGCATCATGACTCTTGGCTACTGCCTAGGAGCCCCGAGTCAATGAACAGCCGTCGATTGCCGCATCTCTGGTAGCCCCTACCGACTCGGACCAAGAGATCACGTCGACGACTAACGACGGCCGATCCTACGGGAGCGTTCACCAGGCCCGGATTCCAATAAACGGACCGACCATCATTGGCTTCTGCTCCCTTCCGCCCTGTCTCGACCCAACAAACCAGAGACAAAAGATCCTCCTCCTCTCTCGTCACGAACACCCAAGCAAGACAATTCCAGCCTCGGAACTCACTCCCGCTTGCTTATTGCGGCTCACCAGCAAGCACCCGCCCTGTCGCGCCGCCAGTGTGTCTGGTGTCATCCGTTTGTCATCGTCCCAGGCACCGAGCAATCTACAAGTTGGGCGTGTGTCACCTCCACCTCCACGAGGCCGTCAAGGCTTGGTCTCTCCAATCACCGACTGTCTTGCGTGCTTGGCTTCGGTCGAGGCAGTACCGCAACGTCGCATCGCGGCCAGTCGAGATGAAGACTCTCTGCGCCCAGAATACCCGCGTTCCGTGCCTTAATGTCTCCTTTCTGGGCACCAACACACCCATTCAACCGGCGCTTCACCAACCTGCCCAGCAAGGATTGCCACAATCCACGCCCGACATATCCAACAGTCAAGATTTTGAGCTGAATAATGCTCCGACAATAATTCGCTCGACTTCCGGTTGACTTTCCCCCTCGACGGGCGTGGCCGAGACTTGACTCTCAATACCAGACACTACGCCGCCCAAACGCCTGGGTTTTCGCAAGGACGCTTTCTTCTGAATGACCCCCCGCAATCTATCACAAGCTCCCCGGCGTTTGTCTCGACGCTTGGAGTCTTGGCCCGGAATACGCCTTCACATCCACTGCAGGGACCCGGCAGACAAACGAACGCATCGGAGACCTCGCGCCCATGAGTGATGCTGGTTGAAAGCTGTCGGGGTTGCATCCAGCTCCTCGCGTGCAGCCCAAGGGACCCCAGCTGACGGCCAGGAGGCCCCGTTCGATTGGGAAGCGCGGCTCGAATTGCCGGCGCGCAACGTGGGGTAGCGCCTTCGTCTGCCTCCGCGTTCCCGTTCCTGGACATGGCGGCCATGCGCTGCACGCCTTTTTCAACCTCACTCCAACAGTCCCGAGACATTGCATCTTGGGATCCAGAGTTTTGGGTACTATGCCGTTCCGAGTCCAGAGTCTCGAGCTGTGTTCAAAAAATCCAGATGCAAGAGTTCTCCTTGCTGCGCATGTTTCTTTTTTATCAGCATTAGTTCGTCTCATGTGCAAACTCCCGTCCCGCGTCTAATGCCATCCCCCTTCATCTGATTTGCTGTTTCTCCTCATGCCTCTGGTAGATTAGCTATCCTGGATCACCCCCGGTCATGAGGCTTGACCAACAAAGGCAATCAGCAATGTTACATTCCGTTGGCAGACTTTCAACCCCACCACCACGTCTTCGACCGCACTCCCTCCATGGATCAGACAAACATTTCCTCCTATCGGCGGACTCGCATACCATGCATTCCATCCACAATCAAATCAACCGTGACTGGACGAGCCAGATTGCGGGATTCTGTGGTCATGTGGCAGCGGTGCCAACATTGGAACATCTCATCTGGCTGAAAGAAGAAAGTCGCATAGGAGAAGAGGGAGGCAAGGTGATATGATGGGCAGGGGGAAGGCTTGGCAGATGTTGAGAAGATGTCGCCCCTTTAAATATTGCCTCTCCCATCTGGGAGTTGCAGAGAGTCAATTACGGCTTTGGTTGCTAGACCTTTATTGACGTTGACGTCCGGCACCATGAAGTTCTTCGGTCGCAACGGTGCTCTGGCAGCCCTCTTGGCGGCTTCGCCGCGTACGTGACCGAGTCTCCCAACCAAGACTTCCGCTAACATCATCACTTAGTCCTAGAAGGAGTTGCAGCTCAGGCCTCGACTCCAACAACCTACACCGACCCGACAACCGGCATCATCTTCAGCACATGGTCTGCTACGACTGCCCAAACCGCCGGCGGCCTGACGTACGGTTTCGCTCTACCTCAAAATGCACTCACGGTGGATGCCAACGAATACGTTGGCTATCTCGTATGTTATCGCCGTTTCTCAAATACGCCCTACCCGATGCTTACAAAGTGAACAGCAATGCGCTTCCAAGAATGGCCAAGGTACCGGTTGGTGCGGTATCTCCCTCGGCGGCACGATGACGAACAAGCTCCTTGTGATGGCATGGCCCAACGGCAACGAAATCCTCACCTCCTTCCGCTGGGCAACTGGCTACGACATGCCGGCCGTCTACGCCGGTGACGCCAAGCTCACCCAGATCTCCTCGACCATCAACGCCACCCACTACACCCTCATCTACCGCTGCCAGAACTGCTTCCAATGGAATCACAACGGTGCTACTGGTAGCGTCAGTACCTCGGCTGGCTCCATGGTTCTTGGCTGGGCCCAGGCGTTCAGCAGCCCGACCAACCCAACCTGCCCGGCCAACATCGTTCTTGCACAACACGAGAACCAGAACATCCACGGGACCTCGCTCAACAGCGACATTGCTAACCCATCGTACTCTGCCTGGGCTGCCCTGGCCACCAAGACTGTCACAGGTAGCTGCGGTGGAGGAAGCACATCCACGTCCGTTCCGACTGCAACGTCGACTGCGGCCCCAGGTCCTACTGGTGTCCCTGTCCCCTCTCAGTCTTACGACTACGTCGTGATTGGTGCTGGAGCTGGCGGTATTCCTTTAGCTGACAAGCTTAGTGAAGCCGGCAAGAGCGTGCTGCTCATCGAGAAGGGCCCTCCATCTTCCGGCAGATGGGGTGGCACGATGAAGCCTACTTGGCTTGCTGGCACCAACCTCACCCGCTTCGATGTGCCTGGACTTTGCAACGAGATCTGGGAGAACTCAGCCGGTATCGCCTGTCAAGACACTGACCAGATGGCGGGCTGCGTCCTTGGTGGTGGAACAGCCATCAACGCTGCGCTTTGGTGGAAGGTCGGTTTAACCCTTTTGCTCATTGCCATATGTCGCTAACATTTCCCAGCCATACTCACTGGATTGGGACTACAATTTCCCCACTGGCTGGAAGTCATCTGACGTAGCTGCTGCAACATCGCGGGTATTTTCCCGCATTCCGGGGACCACCACACCGTCTCAGGACGGCAAGGTCTACCTCACGGCAGGCCGCGATGTTATTTCGGCCGGTCTTAAGTCTGGCGGTTGGACTGAGCTCGACCTGAACGCGAACCCCAACTCCAAGAACCGCACTTTCGGCAAGACGCCGTATATGTATTCAGGAGGCGAACGCGGTGGGCCGATGGCGACGTACCTCGTGTCTGCCAGCAAGCGCTCCAACTTCAAGCTGTGGATGAACACCGCCGTGAAGCGTGTCGTCCGTACCGGCGGCCACATCACTGGTGTTGAGGTTGAGCCATACCTCAGTGGGGGATACCAAGGCACCGTCAACGTAACCGCGATCACTGGCCGAGTGATCCTGTCAGCTGGGACGTTTGGCAGTGCGAAATTGTTGCTGCGCAGTGGAATCGGACCAAAGGACCAGCTTGACGTTGTCAAGAGCTCCACCGATGGGCCAACAATGATCTCGAACAGCTCGTGGATCACACTTCCCGTTGGCTACAACCTTGAGGATCACACCAATGTGAGTTGACTGATAACGTGGCAATTTGAAGGAAACTGACCAGCGACAGACTGATCTGGTGGTTTCGCACCCTGCTGTGGAGTTCTACGACTTCTATGAGGCGTACGACGACCCGAACGTTACTGACAAGAACTTGTACCTCAACAAGAGGAGTGGTATCCTGGCTCAATCAGCGCCCAACATTGGGCCTCTGTAAGTTGCCCGTTGCGAATCTTGAGACTGTCACTGACGCGATGGCAGCTTCTTCGAGGAACTCAAGGGTGCCGATGGCATTACTCGCCAGCTTCAGTATACTGCTCGCATGGAGGGCAGCCTGGGTGCTCCCAACGGAAGTAGGTCCTATCCACCTATTCACTAACTTAGTGTCATAGCTAACCTTTCCCTCAGAGTCCATCACCATCAGCCAGTATCTCGGTCGCGGTGCAACCTCCCGTGGCAGAATGACAATCCAGGGCAACCTTGGTACTGTCGTCTCGACCGTGCCCTACCTTCGCGACCAAAACGACGTCGAGGCCGTCATCAAGGGCATTGAAAATCTCCAAGCTTCCCTCAAGAATGTCGCCAACCTGACGTGGCTGTTTCCCGAGCCGGGAACGACGGCGAGGAACTACGTCAACAACATGCTGGTATCATACTCCAACCGTCGTGCGAACCACTGGATCGGTAAGCTTTCCCACAGTCCCTTCCATTATTTTTGATGTGAATGAGTCTTGACGATAATAACCATCGTGTAGGCACTAACAAGCTTGGCACTGGCGATGGCCGCAACGGTGGCGATGCCGTCGTTGACCTCAACACCAAGGTCTGGGGTACAGACAACCTCTTCGTTGCAGATGCGTCCATCTTCCCGGGCATGGTGACAACCAACCCCTCGTCCTACATAGTCGTCGCAGCGGAGCATGCTGCTGCAAAAATCCTCGCCCTTGCGACGGCCAAGGCTGGTGCGCTGTACGACCAGTGCGGTGGTTCGACATGGAATGGGAGCTTCCAGTGCGCCACGGGCTTGAAGTGCACTTTCAAGGACTCCTACTATTCTCAGGTACGTCGCCTTTTTTGTATCTTCCCAATCCACCGACGACAAGAACGAGGGGAGCATGCCCATTTTAAAGGACATTGCTGACACAAACGACAGTGCTTGTAACTTTATCAGCGCTGAGGTATGCGAGTCAAACAGATCGCACGTGGACTTCCTTTATCTTTTCATGGACATACTTTCTTCATCTTCCTCGTACATATTTAAAACGAACCTCTGGGAACATATCTCGTATAAATATCCACCCACCCCAAGCTTATCCCGACTTGTCCGCTTCTGTGACCATCCCAATGACATAGCTCCCTCCCTCGGCCCGTCCTCATCAAACATGCGCACCAATAATATGCCCCGCGAGCTGCGCGAACCCCACACAGGCACTGCGCACCTGACGTCGCATCTGGCGAAAGATCTCCCGGCACCTGGGAATTCCCCAGTTTCCCCTCGCGCCGCCCCTCTTCATAAGGTTGGGACCATGCCTGTGTTTTCCTGTTCTGGGTGATCTGTGCTGTCAAACAGGTGGTCCGGTGCCTGTCAGGTACCGAGCGAAACCTCGGAGGGGGCCGGATGTGCGGCCTTGTTTTGCTCTTTTGCCTTGTTTACCGCTACCTTCCGTTTTCTTGATGATGTCTTTTGTAGAAATGGGGTTCTGCTCCGGTGGACTGACACACTCAAGTCATTTTATCCTGCCTCAATGGACCCTCGTGACTGACTAGCCAAGCAAATTAGAGAAGGCGGCTGCAACCTCACAAACTGCCTACATCCCGGCTCCGAGGCCCCCGCCACGTGTGAGATGAGCGAACAGCAGTTCTTCCATCACGGAAAATCGCACACCTAGCGGCTGGGCATCCACTCGAAGAGTATGAATGGTGGTCCATTTTAGCCTCGGCGGAGGTCTCTAACCTGAACCTTCCCACCTCCCAATGCCATGCGTTCCAATCCGTGGCTCCCTCCGAGCACGACGCTACTCGCGTTGCAATGTCGCGATACCCGCCCACCAGCACGCCTCGGCGGAGTAGTCGAGTCTCCATGACGACGTGTGCAGGCGTGACGACTTGATATCCCCAGAGTTGCGGGGTCATTCAGGCGGTGTTCATAAGCACTCACCTTCACTCCCATCCCATTGAACCCTTCTGTCCTTTTCTCTCCAGCGTCCTCGTGATACCCTCAGTTCCCCACAACGATGCCCTCTCTCAAAGCCCTTCTCGGCGCTGGCCTGGCCGCAACAGCAGCCCTGGCCTCCCCGATCCAGTCCCTTGACTTCAGCGACCTCGCTGCCCGCGCGGATCCCAGTCTAACCGGATACCTCGGCGCGTTCTTCCTCGGCGCCGACCCGTACGTGTACCTGTACCTCAGCAACGGCAACAACGCCGTCTCCTTCCGCGCGCTCAACTCTGGCTCGCCGGTGATCAAGCCCACCAAGGGCACCGGAGGCGTGCGCGACCCTGCGATTGTGGAGGGCGGCGGCGCGGAGAAGGGGAAGAAGTGGTATATTGTCGGGACGGATTTGGATATTGGCAAGGTATGTTGGAACTCTTGACGTCGTCTGATGGTGTTCATCCAATGTTGTGCTGGTCTAACATGGAAGTTCAGACGACATGGGACGCCGCCCAACGACAGGGCTCCAAGGGCATCTTCGTCTGGGAGTCTACTGACCTCGTCAACTGGAGCGGCGAGCGCCTCGTGGTCGTCGAGAACTCCAGCGCCGGCATGGTCTGGGCCCCGGAGGCTATCTGGGACCCTAGCAAGGGCCAGTACCTCGTGCACTGGGCCTCCAAATTCGTAAGTCCGCCTTCATGAGTCTAAACTTCACCCGATCGGGCCATAAACTTACCCCGTACCGCGCAGTACCCCTCCTCAGATCCAAACCACACCGGCGCTCCGGGCCCCATCGTGATCCGCTACGCCTACACCTCCGACTTCAAGACCTTCTCCGCGCCCGCGACCTACATCGACAAGTCGCCCACCAACATCATCGACCTCAACATCCTGCCGACGGGCACCGACGGCAAGTCCTTCGTGCGCTTCCTCAAGGACGAGTCGCTCAAGACCGTCTTCGTCGAGGTCTCGACCACGGGGCTGTTCGGCACGTGGACGCGCCCGGGCGGGTCGTCGGCGATCATCCAGAGCGGCGTCGAGGGCCCGGCGAGCTACTGGGACAACCAGGTCGGGGGCAAGGCGCACGTGTTGCTGGATTTCTACGGCGAGGACGGGTATAGGCCGTACGAGACGGGGAATGTGGCGAGTAATGCCGGGTGGAGCGCGAGTTCAAGGACGGGATTCCCGAGTGGGTTGAGGCATGGGAGTGTGTTGCCTGTGAATCAGACTTTGTATAATGCCTTGGGTGCGCGTTGGGGTTGAAGTTGAGATGTTGTGAGGGTAGTGGTCTAGGAACGACGTCATTCATGAAAAACACTTAAAGACGAAATGGGACATGCGTATTTCTGCCTTCATTTTGCTGTGAGTGTGTGGTTTGGTGTTTGACTCCCGTCATCCACCGACTTATTGGATTCATCGTTCTGCCTTGGTGTAGCCGTTGGCATCCTCCCCTTGAATTGTATAGTATTGTCATCTTGTCGACCTAGGCGACACCACCAGCTCTCGTCTTGTCACGGTTGTCCTTTTCACTCGGCTGAGTGTGAAATTTCCCCAAACTGCACATCCACTGACCCCAAATGCAATGCGAGGTGTAAGTCAAGTCCTAGTCCCGTGGGCCTACAGGGAGCGGCTTGTACTAGCGAATAAGGCTGTGGATGAGGTATGCTCCCATAACCGGCCCATAATCGATCAGTTCGAGATTGCTGCCTCCACCACCCGATTCTAGAAGGGGCATGGATAAGCCACCGGACGGAATTAGTACCTCAATCTCTACCTGGGGAAAAGTTGTTCAGCTGGTCAATCTTTCGATACGCAAGTGTCGGGTTACCTCTCTCCCCACAGAAGATTGCCATAAAGTTGATATTGAGGTGATTGACTGAAACCCATCCCCTGCATCGTACGAAAGCTGCGCTTAGCAACAAAACGTGCTCTTTGAGATGGAAATTTCATAATATTCTTCCAAGCTCTGCTTTACTGTTCTTGGCTTTACTTGAACAATCTCTTTATTAACGAATAAGCTACTTCTGTGTTTGTCGACCTGTTCGATAGACCTCAACCAGTTTCAAAGAACTTAGCTTGTCAAGGAAATCAGAAGACAAAGGAAGGCGTGCTCTGGCATCATTGAAAGCCAATGCATTTGAATTCATAAGAGGTGACTCCAGTCCTTGTCGCAGTGCCGAATGGTTAAGCTCGTTTAATACTCAGAGGATCGAGATCAGCCTGGAGTCCCTGTTTTAATCCGAATATCTTGAGTTCTCTTCCACATCTGGAACAGGATAGTATTCCAGTAGGCTGGTACAAGATGACCAGCCAGCCAACTTTGGTATACGCGAGCCGTGAGATACGTAGGGTAAAAGAGTTGGGTAAACAAACTGGGTAGATTTCATCGGATGTCTTTCAAGATTTGGCATCCATGAAAGTTTAACAGGGTTCGGACAACTTGTCTATATACACAATCGTTGATGGTGTGACACATGTCTGGGGTTTCTAAAGATCCTGTTCAAAAGGTGTCAAGGTAGAATCTTATTCCACCCTGCGATATCCGGCGGAGGTAGTTCCGAGTTCGTTCCATCCAAAACAGACTGATTCTTTGCGTTTCGACTTTACTTTGATTATCGCCGGGGCTACGGATGAAGCTATCGACAGTGGAGCTCGTCTCAGTCGCGTGTCACTCGGCTACCATCTTGCACATAGACAAACAGAAAACACAGCAGCATCGTGAAATGCACACGAGTTGTGGGTTGCTTGAGGCTAGTTCTGCAGGACGTTTTCTCGACCGCTGTCAATGTAGCTGTTCGTTTGGTAAACTACCTAGGTAGGTAAACCAGGTAAACCATCTAGCATTCCTCTACCGCCTAGTGTACCAAGAACGCACAAAACCCGGTCGCCGTGAACAACTCTTTATATTAAAAGCTGTGTAGTTGACGAGAATTGAAGATATTTACAAATCTTACCCCTCATCATCATTCTTTACAGTGAGAGAAAACAGCAAACCACCTCTTTCTGAATTCCATTTCCATCACAGCTACAGGCAGGTTTCAGGTCTTTCCTATCCGTAAATCAACCCTGAGCTGTTCTGACCTTGGCCAGTCATCTCTCGAAAAATGTCCAGTATCGTCTTCACGCCATCGGGTCTCGTGACCTCCCGCTTACTGTTCCGGTACTACCGGGATGCAGTGAATAGCCCCAACGTCGAGTACAAGGCTTCTGCCTTCTGGCAATTGGTTCTACAAAGACTTCTACGAACATGAGGTTTACGCAGTAGCCGCTGAATCCTCGCCCGATGGGTCACTCAGACGCGTGGATGCTGCGGTGAAGCGATATGAAGAGTCGAGCGATAAGATGTACTCCATGATGTGGATTGAATTTAAGCGGAAGAGTGGCAGCGTGGCTCAGGTCGAGGACCAGGCCCTTGATGCGGCGAAGCGTGTCTTTCAACAAGAAGCACTCGAACGCGTTTTCATAATGACGACTATCGGCGTCGCATTTCGCACGTGGGAAGTTGTATGGGATGAGCTTGGGGTGCAGCTTGTACCGTTGGACGGTAGAAGCGCCGCTGGTACCAACTTGAAAGCTCAGTACATTGACGCATTTCATCCTGACGCCACGACGCTTTTCTCCCAAGTTCAGCAGATGAAGGATCCATACAACATGCCAGTTTACCGCGCTAAAACAACGATTCCAAGCCAACCTTTGCCGCCAATGGAAATCGGAGCCACTCAACAGAACATGGGTTACAGCAGCTATGGTGAACCTCAGGCCGGTCCATCCAACGTTGGGGGTACCGGATCTACCCATCAGTGGATTGAGGTAAAAGGTAAGTACGAAAAACACTCATTTCACGCCGATGAGTACGTCTTTCGAGACGAACAAGGTCAATCTAGACACGCTGAAGCGGATAGATGGAAGGAGTCCTTGCACAATGGAGAGAAGATTTGGTCGTTACGTGGCAAAAGTGTGACATACTTTACCCGGAAATGGGAATAGTCGATGGTTTCTGTTCTGCTGATTTTCTCGGCGCTCGGAGAACTTCATGCGTCTTATCCTATGTGTAGCCAGGGTAAATCACACCCAGAAGATGACCGTTATAATACAAAGCAGCGCCCTCAGGGGAGTGCCACCATTCCAAGATGCCAGATTGAGTGACCTGAAGCCAGCGAGCCGTTGATAGATCTTCTGGTGCCTCACATGTCACCACCGCAACATACGCATAGGGATCATTTTTCTCAATCTGTTTGACACAGAGATATAAACTGTCCCTCTCTCCAACCGAAATCCTCTCTAGAATCATGTCGTGACGGAAAAAGCCGACACATTCGCGGTGGCCATCTGCATAGCGAAGAAGCATTCCTAAGATTTCTCGATGCAAGCCAGTCCCAAAGCCACAAGTTTGAACCTCAGTCAAGTGCCGCATAGAGCATGAGGAGTAAAACCGAAGTGTGTTTGGGATAGTTCGTGGAAGATTCGAGATAGAAACTACAGGAGCAGGTAGATTCTCTTGGCTGAGCTTGGCCGGATCGCCGCTGGTCTGCTGAACACCGACGAAATCGACAAAGCTTCGGTCGAAGAAGCCGTCACGATCATTGTAATATAGTCGACAGGGGTTATTTGAGAGTTTCCAAATGCGTTTATATTTCGTTTAGTCCGTAGACTCCGAAGAAGACAGTCCGGTCACGATCGGTTGTGAACTAGAATGAACTGGTCAGCCTTAGTGGTAAAGAAAGGGCATTTCCCTCACAGTCATTCCAGTAACGTCCTGTCCCATTGCAAAAGGCGGCGTGGTTAGCCTGCAAATATCGGTGAGATACTCCCCTTCATTTATAGGCATAAACTGCCAGTAGCAGTCCGTGGGACAGGTTTTCTCGTACACGCTTCGGACGGCTGCTTCACCTATTTTGTGGGCAACGACCCCAGCAATTGCGCGTCCCTTGACCGCCACCGAGTATCCGATCGTGTAAGGTGCGTTGCAATCGAAGAAGTCCATGCGAAGCCCATCTGGAGGATCACGGGGTGGTTCCAATGTCGCTAGTTTGACGACGAGTGGAGGTGATGACAGAGGGGTCGGCCAGCCGACCAAAGCCAAGTCTTGCATTTGGCTGCTCTGGATACTTCTCACCTTTAGACCCTGTGATCGGTTAGTATGTGACTGGAAAATTCATAGTGCATACGAACATCACCGTTGATGGTGATGGCAGACGGCATAACTCCCTGAGAAATGTTCTTCCACCAGGCGCCGGGCACACTAGATTGGTTGCGACACCATTCCTCCAGATTTTTTGTTGAAACAAAAGCCAGTCGACGAATTCCGATATGATCCTCTGCGACGAAAATATTCATGTCCTTCTCTCTTGAGTTTCGAGTCGGTAGTAGAAGGCAGCATCCACTGCCACTTCTTGAATCGGGTGTGTTTTGCAGTCTCTTGATGTAGTATCGACCATCGATCTTTATGTAGGATGCGAACACAGATTGATTCAAGTCAAGGACAGAATCGCCAACTTTATCAGCTGTACGCACCTGGCACTCCAACATATGGAGAGCGCACCACCGGACTAGATACCGGGCAACAATCAACCACAACTCGTATGGAAGACTTTGGGTCCCAAAGTCCATCTGCTTCAATTTGCAAGCCAGAATCTGCCGGTTGAATTCAGCCCGTCGCCGTTCCTCCTCGGGAAAAGGGGTGAAGGAGAAGTCAGTTCCGGCCAGGAATATCGGCGTAATTGAGTACAAGCGGTCACGATAGCAATCAACATGATAGCACACGGTCGCCTCTTCACGAACTCTACATTTCTTGAGGAAGCAAGTGTGAAATTTGATGTGAAGCCCTCGGTCCCAGAAGTCTCCGAAGTGTGGAAGTTTGAACTCGGTAGCGAAGCCTTCTTCGACAGCTAGGTAAGTATTTCACCATTAGCATTTGAGCTCAGTACAGCAGCTAGCCACGCACCTGCTATAATAACGTCGCCTCTGTGCACAGGGAACTGGCAAAGTCTGCAGCGGGCCTGGGTAAAACAGAAGTAGGACGCGTTGAATTCGTTTGCCATGGTTGGAAACTCATGTGGATCACAGCCGCCACATTCACTCCGTCGTTGGGAAGTTGGTGGATATATAAATGGGCGCGAGGAGAAGACATGAAAGCATGTGTGCCTAATAACTACGCGGGGGCTGTACCTGGCATGTTGGATGCTGACCTCAGCCACCCCATTCTCTGATCCATGGATAGATCCTGCATGGCACCAACACACCGCTTTACTCATTGGATAACGGGTTCGCTCGTGGCCAATCATAACTCGAATACAGCCATACATGGACAAAGTTACTCCGAGTAAGTCTCGGGTTCAAGCGCCAGACATCTTGCCATAGAAAACCATCATGTCAGGTACTCATTGTGGGTAATGACAAAAGCAAATGAGACTCGGGAGCACAATCATTTCATCAAGAGGGCTTGTCATTCAACGTCTAGGAGGTAAGGCCCTTGGATGGAACCCGCCGGTCGCAGTGGAAACATTCGAACGGGAGGCAAAATTCAGAAAATATGCCGACACTACCTATGAGTAATAATCACACCCCATCATTTCCGCGTCTAGAGCTTCAGCCTAGTCGCCTCGGACTTGACAATAGTAGGCACTTCATCTTGGAGACTCTTTTCCTGTGGCTTCCATCCAAGAACCTTCTTGGCTCGGATGGCAGCAGCTCGGGAGTTCAGGCCCCAGCTCGCTGCCTCAAATCCAGCAGACGACTTGACTGCCTCGTCGTAAGACAGACCCCGCACCTCCGGCTCTCCTCCCTTGATGAAACCCTGCTTGTGGGCTTCCTTTCCAACCAGCGTTGCCAAATCACCCCAGACGTGCTCGCCATTCTCAGTGAAGAAATAACCATGTGCTCCCCAGATCTCCTTGTCATCCTTGCGAGATGGGTCGAGCGCGGCCTCGACCAGCAACTCGAACACTACGCTTAGGTCGTGAACGTGGACGTTGTTCCATCGCGCAAGTCCCTTGCCGATACGGGGGCTATATCCCTCTTTGAGGACGAAAGTAGCCAGCTCGTACACTTGACGACCACGCCCCGACACTGGGCCCCGCCCCTCGCCGTAAATAGTGGGCGGGCAGACAATGGCAGTCTTGACGGAGTCGGCGTGTCTGATGCCGGTGTTGAGGACGATCTCGTCCACATTGCGATGGAAAGCGACAGCTGGCAGGTTGACGATCTCATCGACACCATCATAGTCGTCGAAGACCTTGTCGTCGTGCTCTCCATACGTCTTCTTGACTTCAGAGTCGAAATAGGTGAGGATACCCGTGCCGCCCGTGTGCAGCCAGAACCCTGGCCTGGATGGCGAGTGGCCAGACACAAGGCCTTTTGCGATAGCCTCCGCCGCGCCTGAGTGATCCGACGAATCGGCAGTGTCTGGGATTGAGTTAGTGGGTTGCTGGCTAGGATCTCGGAACAAGGTGAAACTCACGGATTACGATGTCAGCCCATGCTGCCTCGCGCTCCAGAATCTCGGAATCATCAAGTCCCCCGATGACAATTCTGGCTTTAGGAAACCTCTCTTGCACCTTCTTTGCCTTTTCTTCAGTCCGAATAAGCAGTGCATACTCAAAGTCTGAGTGCTTCTGGTACAACTGGTAGAGGGCGTCGCCGCCGATGTAGCCTGTGGCTCCCGTAAGGAAGATTTTGGCAGGCATTGTTGCTGGTGGTCTGGTGAAAGGAAAACGCTGGGTCCAAGATTTCGTCTGGTAGCTCTGAGATGTTTGGAATCGTGATATAGCTGTCGTCGCTTGCGTGTGAGTTACGTAGTTGGCTTCTATGACGTCTGTATGGATTTCTAATCGTGAGTAAAGCGCCCCCCGGATATTTGTTTAGCCACTCGGCTGCACAGAATGCATTACGTTCCCCCAACCCCACTCAAGCCATTCACATCGATTGGTTTTTCTCGTTTACCGTGAGCGTTTGTCGAAGGATCGCTCGTTCATTTAAGCTTATTTCTGCTGAAACTAATGTCGGTTGAGTTTCACGAGGAGTGCGTGACAGACTTCAAGCTTCTCACAATAGCGGGGTACTTGTTATCACATTGATTACCCCTCATTTGAATTGGATGGTGATCGCATCGCGCGACGCCCCACATTTGTCAATCTAGCAATGAAGTTGGCATCTAAATGTTTCCATTGGAAACCCCGGATGTGTATTAACGATTGGCGAGTCAACGGTCACCGCTTAATGTTTGGTACCTATTTACTCGAAAGAGGCAAGAGAGGGTCAGCCTATCTCTCATGCCACCCTCTCGTACCACGCCTACACAGCTGGAACTAGAGTGCTGTTTGCGACTGGGTGGTTGAGGACCTGCGTTGGCGGAATGGAAGGCTAGTCTTGGGGGAAATCTTGGCTAAGCCTCATCGAGGATGTCTCTCAAGGCTTGCAAACCTGGCTGCTCATGAGGAATACATCAAGATGTGGTTGCTGGCTTTCGCAGTCCCCTGACTGGCAGATTCCTGCACCGCAGAAATCATCGTCTCGTCCACAGCGACCGTAGATGCTACAACATGTTCCTTGTTTGCCAGCGCACTTGCGGTTCCCATTCGCGTACCCACAGGTTCCATCTGTGGTGTACACTTTATGGCCCCAGCAGATGCCTTCCCAGCAAGTACCAGGTGCACAGTCAATGCTGAATATTGTGTAAATACATTAGCCACGGCAAATCTTGACGAAATACTTTGATCGCTTATAATTGGAGCAGCAGGACGAGTCACTCACTCTCTCTCGCCACATCTCCAAGTCTCCGAGTTGCTGCATTGCCCGTCTGTACCGACGCAGGTGACGCCCAGACGCGACGGGCCGCAAATCCCGTCCCACGCTCTTTCGGGTTCGATAACTGCGATAGTCGTTGAGCATGTCGTAGTTCGCGAAGACTTGCAATATATGTCTACTCACATCCCGCAGTGCAGTACGTTGCACATGGAAGTATGTGCTTGCAGTCGCGATCCAGAGACGGGTTCAAGAAAAGAAACTTCTCAAGCGAGATTCCGAAGTCGTCTGCAAGCTCCTGACATGTTTTGGGGCCAACATTCTCATAAGTGTCACCCAAAGAGCGACAGTTGATCTCCCCGGGCTGGGTATCACCTCCTCTGATATCGTGAATCGTCGTATGACTTGGGCATGGCCTGGAGACTGTGACAGCAGGTTAGCCAGGGGTCGTGGGATTGGCCCATGTGTGCGGTTTGCATGTTCCGGTGCTCGCGAGCAAAGAGGGTATGGGGGTAATTCCGTGCACCAGTGTCGTAATGAACGTGACAATAGTCCCGGTGCATAACGAAACAGGGCCAACCTTTGGATACATCATTTTCGGACAAGAAGACGCAGATGTTTGTTTTATCTAATTGTACAATTGCGTGTAGAGGTCGGCATTTTATACCTGCAAAGTGGCATGTTGGAGTGCCCTGACTGTGCCGCAAAGACAGGGGCGTCCGAAGCAAAGAGATATCTCCAGTCGTCATGGCAACATTAGGCAGCAGTCTCTAGATACATGCGAGAGAAAGACTGGTAGAAAGAAACGGTGAAATGTCAATACATTTATGTCCGACCCAACGGCATCGATTGTGCCCGTTAGAAGTAAAGTTATTGTACTTCCTTAGCAGGAGCCCATGGGGAGAGAATTGCTGACATTTATGCGAAAGTGGGTTAGTTATGGAATATGTAATTGGTCGTTGGAAGGTGTGCGGATTGCCGCGCTGGCCGACGTAAAAGACCAAATCATACCAGGCGCCAACAGCATCTTGTAGAAACCCCGCTTCGTCAACTTGCGTTGGGAAAGTTTTATTGACCCCAAACGACCTCGAACGACCTCGAACAATCTCTCCTGGTATCCTCTCGAAAGTCCGACTTGATTTGAAACGCAGCTATCAACCTAATGATCTTTGCTGCCATCATACATTCCCTCATATTTAGGACAACCGCACCTGACCTACTTAGTCCTTGGCGACTGAGCGTCCAGCTATGAGACTGATTGACACGGAAACGATGGATATCGTTGAGCGCTTTGGTGCATCCATCGAGCCTTATGTTATTCTCTCGCATACTTGGGAGGATGAAGAAGTCACTTTTCAGGATTGGGACAAGCCTAGTATAAAGAACGAGATGAAGGGTTTTCAGAAAATCAGGCAAACATGCGAGCTCGGTGCTGCTGACGGTTACCGGTACGCTTGGGTTGACACTTGCTGTATCGACAAGACCAACAGTACGGAGCTTTCCGAGGCCATCAACTCAATGTACAAATGGTACGAAGATGCCGCCGTCTGCTATGTCTATCTTTCGGATCTTCGCGATGGCGCCGGCGACGAGGCATTAAAAGAACAGCGCTGGTTCAAACGCGGCTGGACATTGCAGGAGCTGATAGCTCCACGAGAGGTCCAATTCTCTTCTCGGAACTGGCTACGCATTGGAGTGAAAGCTGGCATGGCGAGGTTGGTTTCAGAATTAAGATCCATCAACCATGACATTCTATCTATGTCTCAGGACCTGAATGACTTCAGTGTGGCTGAAAGAATGTCATGGGCATCTGGGAGAGAGACGACCAGACCAGAGGACTTGGCGTACTGCCTACTTGGAATTTTTGGAGTCAACATGCCAATGCTGTACGGAGAGGGGAAGAGGGCTTTCCTGCGACTTAAACAAGAAATCATCAAAACTACAAACGACCTATCCATATTTGCCTGGGAGTATGTACCCGTTGTCCGTCGCACGTGGCAAGATCACAGGAATATCACTTGTGGTATATTTGCGGATTCCCCGAGCGAATTCGCCATAAGAGATCCTCTCGTCGGGTCAAAGCTTAAGATCACACCTTTGAAACGACAGACAGAGGGCGATGTTACTGTCACAAATGCTGGCATCAAAATAACCTGCAGACTCCAGCTGGTGTGGACGCGACATAAGGGAAATTACTCATACGTTCTTCCCGTCGCTCGCACTCACGGGGAATCCACCAGAAAACGGAACATGTTCTTTGACGATGACTTAGGCGTCATGTTGAAAAAGATCGATTCGGGTTTATTCGTAAGACAAAACCCCCTGTCGCTCGTCAGAATGAACAAGCGGACCAAGCGTCTGGACGTTGATCGATACTGTCCCAACGCCTACATTCTCAATGATCTTTCTATGTGGAGCCCTCTAGATCGGTACAGGGAACTACGGTTTTATTGGCCGCCGGGAGTCAGGGTTATTCGATGTTGGCCGTGGGCTGACTGGGACGATGAGACTGGAGTATTCATGACCGGGCGCGATGGTCCACGTGGATCCATGCTGATCGAAGTGAAGGTTGAGGATGCTATCGATGACATTCCGCCTCAAATCATGGAGTTCATGTTTGTGTTCTTCGGTCCCCTTGACCACGACTACCTCACGTACACACTTGTCGAGTATGGCCCTTATCAGATGCCGCTGGATCTCATCAATTTGAGACTCCATGGAAGAGACATGAGCCACAAGGAAATGTTTCACGCTTTGAGGAGGTCGCCAATTCCCAGACAACATTCTGCATTAGCCCGTATTCCAAGGACTGAGTATGGCGTCCGTCTCTCAGTACAGGCAGTGGAAACCAAGCCTCCGAAGTGGGAGTTTTCGATGCTTGTAGCTAGCTTCGATCACATATCGGAGGTTGAGATCCTGCCTTGGTCAGATATGCCGCTGCATGTCTAGGAATGGAACGATTGAATGTATCTAGACGAAACGCATATCTACAACAAACCTTCGGGTGGAAAAAAAGTCTCAACGAAGCAATACTGACCGTGACTATACGTCAAGATACTCACCGTCGAGATTATCATTCTGCCTCGCCCGATCTCCCCTCTTCTTAAGGTCCTGGTCTTTGTCCTGCAATCGAGCAGTACGGGAAAGCAGTTGGGCACAGTCAAGGACTTGACCTCACGTCGTGGACAACCAGCCGATACGACTTACCAAATCGGGCTCTGAAGGATTTCGAAACATTCCTCCATGCCGCCTAAGCATGCGATGGTAGCGGCATTAGAAATCACATTGAGCTTTGTCTGACAAGGTAGCATACGGGTATCTTCGTGTGGGCCGTCGTGGAACGTGGACCTGTCTTTGACCTTTTTAGTTCTTACTTGAATCTGAATACGTCATCATCAACAGCCATAAGCCCTACGAGGCACTCTTACCCAAAACGTGACAAGGCGAGTTGGAAAAATTGCGAACTTCGGCCCGACGTTACATAAGCTGCGTGCACAGCTGGCGGGATAATTGATACATATGTCTGACATGGTCCCCAAACATCCTCCGTCAGGTTCGGTCGTACTGCTTCTTCATTAGACTTCCAATCAGCAATAGAAAGCCATCCATAACGATGTCTCCAGCCTCAACTCCGCAGCTAATCTTCGGAACTGCAAGCTTTGGTGACAAATTTACAAATGTCGAGCAGGTGCAGTCGTGTTTGGATCTGCTGAAAGAACACCATGTCCATTTGCTGGATACGGCAGGCCGGTACCCGGCCGAGGCTCAGGGTAGATCGGAGGAATTGATTGGGGAAACCAAGGCTAGTCAGCAAGGCTTTCAGGTCGATACCAAGATTCTTGCAATGTCAGCTGATCATAAGGGGGAGTTGTCGAAACAAAACATCGAACAGAGTGTCAGCGACAGCCTTCGGCGATTGAACATTCCAAAGGTATGAAAAGGCAGACTCTCAATGCTATCAGCCTGCGATTTAAAGCAAAGGGTCTGACATCGATCGCAGATCAATACTCTTCATATTCATTTCCCTGATTCCCAAACGCCCATTGAAGAGCAGGCCTCAACGCTTGATGAACTTCACAAGCAGGGAAAGTTTGCTCAGGTAAGTTAAATTACCTATGGACCTCGATATGAAGATCCATTGCCACATTTGAAATTCAACTAACAGTTTCTACCCTAAATGTAGCTTGGAGTGTCAAACTTCACTGCCAGTCAACTCACTGCCTTCATCGAGGTGTGCGATAAGTATGGGTTCGTAAAACCTACAGTCTACCAAGGCGAGTACTCGCTTATTAGCCGAGGCATGGAAAAGCATTTGCTTCCCATTCTTCGTGAGCATGGCATCGTCTTCAACGCTTTCAGGGTCATTGCTGCGGGATTTCTCTCTGGAAGCCTTACATCCGGCTCTACGGAAGGCACGAGATTCAGTGGCGATGGCCGGATTGCCAAGTACATGTCAGCCTTGTGGGACAAAGAGTCGCTACATAATGCCCAGCGGAAGCTGAATGCCGCTATCAAAGATGTTGGAATCACGTCTATCGAAGCGGCATTGCGGTGGGCCTGTTATCATTCGGCACTTAGGCAAGGTGACGGCATCATCTTGGGGGCCAGCAAGGAATCTCAAATTGAGAGGTATGCTTCGAAATCTGCAGATCTGGAGGCTTTTATGATCTAATTCTGACTTTGGCAATAGTAACATCAAGGCACTTGCAAACGGCCCACTCCCAGACACCGTTGTTGCTGCTATCGAGGCCCTTTGGGAAGATCTCCGAGCCGAAAGAGAAGACAGCTACATTAACTAGAACAAATGGGCAAAGAATGAGAAATTAAGTATTACTTTCATGACAAGGCTTTCTGACACACTATTGACAAAAGATGGGATTAATCGCTGTCCTACTGTCGCTCGACCACGCCGCCCCTCGAGCTGAAATGTCTAGAGCGCGAAGCATTTAGGCACGCAGATGTTGATATATGTTTCGGGATCAATTGCAACCGTCCTTAGTAATTCAATGAGCGGGGACCATGAGTACTCTATCTGCACATGAATGATATAACGCCGCCTACCGCAAAATGGCATAATCCCATCGAGTACTTGGGCAACAGCCTAGTAATGCAGAAGTAAGTGTGGAGCAAGTTGGCACCTCAGCCGGGTAAATGGATGGTGAGACACGCATACACGAGCTGACGTGCAGGGGTAGTCGATATGCATGGTAAGTGAAAGAGCGGAAGGATTGTTCTCCGCAGGTTCAGCTGTCCTGAGAAGAGTAGGCGACGGAAGAAAACAATGCTGACAGTGGTTCAAAGCCACTGCAGCCATCGGCTGATACTTGTGGTTGGTGGAGGTGGCGGAGAAAATCTTTTGCCCGACGTCTATGAGATTGACTGACCTAATGCAAACATCAGAAGGTCAGCAAGCTCGCGTACCGCATCGGTGGAGTTGCAGTCAGTTAGCATAAAAAGGTTTCCTGTTGACTTCCTTTAGACCTTTCAACACTGAACGCATCCTAGGCGGCTTATTTAACTAGCAACCTATGGTTAAAATGCACGTCTTATCATTATTGTTCGTGCTTCATGCATCCCTTACGATCGCCGCCACTACGTTAGAAGATCTTACAGCCTGTCTTCAGACTGCTTCCGTCCCGATTGGCTCCTCCCTCACCCCGTACAATCTTCGCATTCCCGTCAAGCCTATTCTTGTTGCTGTCCCTACAACAATTGCGCAAGTATCCTTGGCGGTATCCTGCGGGGCGAAGTATGGAGTCCATGTCAATGCGAAGAGCGGCGGGCATAGCTACACCTCTTCCGGCTTTGGCGGAGAGGATGGCCACCTGGTGATCAATATGGACCGCATGTATTCGGTAACCGTTGCAAGTGACGGTACTGCTAAAGTCCAAGCCGGGGCGAGGTTGGGCCACGTCGCGACTGAGCTTTACAATAATGGAAAGAGAGCTATTTCTCATGGCACTTGTCCAGCGTAAGTCACCCTGCGTTTTGATACTTCGCGTGGTTTAATATACTTGTAACAGAGACTGATACTTAAACTCAGTGTCGGTATCGGAGGTCATGCTCTTCATGGAGGTCACGGCATGGTCTCTCGGAAGTATGGTTTCGCCATGGATTGGATCAAGGCAGCAACTGTGGTTCTTGCCAATGGCACTATCACCCGCTGCTCCGCGACAGAAAGACCAAATTTGTTCTGGGGCATTCGTGGAGCCGGTTCATCGATGGTTATCGTGGTCGAGCTTGAACTAAACACGTTTGTTGCACCGGAGAAGATGACATACTTTGACATCGACGTCGTATGGGACACGCAAAAGCTTCCCCAACAACTTTTGGATGCACAGGAATTTGCCAAAGGGATGCCAGCAGAGCTAACCCTATCTGTAAGCTTCAACAACGATGGGTGCTACCTCAACGGTGGTTTCGTCGGAGACGATGCAGCTTTCAAGACGGCAATCCAGCCCTTGTTAACGAAACTGGGGGTGAGGGTTTCCAGTTCTAAGACAGTCGGCTGGATCGAGTTTATCAAGCACTATGCTGGCGTTACTGATATTGACATTACTACCGGCAGCTACAACGAGGTGAGTTGTGTTCCATGACCAACAGTATTCATCACTAATCGAGTTAGCATGACAACTCCTACGCCTCGAGCCTCACGACGCTATCCTTATCAAAAACAAACTTCCAATCTCTGGTCAATGCGATTGATAAATCAGGCTTTTCTGTCAGCCGGTCCTGGTACATCCACATGAACCTCCACGGAGGCGACCTCTCCGCCATTTCGAAACCGGTCGACGCAGCCTATGCTCACAGAGACAAAATGCTTCTCTTTCAGCTTAAGGACAGTGTCTCTCAAAGCCAGGCCTATCCATCGACTGGTTTTGCACTCCTGCAGGGATTTAGGCAGAGCATTACAAGCGGACTTCAGAGTGGGCAGTGGGGCATGTATGCAAACTACCCCGACTCTCAGATATCCGGGGACGAAGCGCCAAAGCTTTACTATGGGAGCAACCTTGAAAGGCTCGAATGGATCAAGGAAGATTATGATCCCACCAATGTTTTCAGAGACAACCAGTCTATTAAGCCTGCAGAGTAGTATTCTACACCATCAGGTGTAGCAATCAAGATCATCCGCATCCCCAGACAGTGCCACACCATTCATTTCCCCTTTTTGGCCCCCAAATGTCGATGGAGTTCTGATTCCACTTGCAAATACAACATTCAGAACTAAGTCTTCTTGCTTCACTAACCGCGCTCCACATTGGTGGACCTGGTTGATGTGTTGCTTGACGATGAATAAGCGCTATTGCTGGCTGGGCCGATTTTTGACCTAGGCGTTCACCTACTCGTGCTTGCCAAGATATCCTTACTCAGGAACACCGCCTTAGTCAAATTGGACTTCGATTGTCTTCCGAGATAGGAAGGTATGCTCAATAGGTGAACTTGAGGTTCGTCCTTGCGTGGTCTTGGTTGGGAGCTGGACCTACATAAGGAGGCCCTTTCCCACACCATAATTGCCAGTTGCGCAACTCAGATAACAAAACGTTCCACGTTCTTAGAGCGTGATTCTCTACTATTACACCTATTATATCATATCTAACTAACGCACACCGTCAATCTCACCAACCCCCGATACGTCTTCACTGTGAACCCCAAGATACACTTTTCTTCCACCCTCGGCGTTTTCGCGGCAACGGCTGTGCACCTTATCCACCCCGCATCTGCCAGTTACGAACCCGGAAAAGCTGTGCAAGTCAACTTCTACTCCAACTCAGGCTGCTCTGCCTATACTAGCGAAACGGCAGCTTGGTGGACACGTTCCCCTCGAGCTGGCGAAAAATGTCAATGGGGGGTCTGCGCCCGACTGTTTCGCACTGAACATGACAGGCAATAGTGGAAGCTTGAACGTCGCCAATGTCTGGAAGGGCAGTGGGGCCAAGAGTTCAGGGGGTGCTCTCTCTATGATGGATATAACTGTGGTGGTGCGTCCACGTATGCCCGCTTTCAGGATGGCACTGGGACCTGCATTGCATAGAGAAGCCCCAACGGGTCGCTGTGGAAGAGCGCTCGTTGCAGCGTAAACCCCAGCTAGGTGCGTACTTCTACCATGTCACGAGTCGCTGCTGGGGCTTCGGCGAGGGTCTCGGAGGACAACATGTTCAAGTTATGCGGTGATCAGGAACGGTTATCAGAAAATAAACGTCATATTGTAAAACCGGTCCTAGTGTGAGCCATTGTAGGTCGATTTTTAAAGCTTCAAAAGTTTCTTCATCTCATTTCCCATGACTCCTGGGTGCGGAACTACAAGAGCCCCAGCTTCTGCCAGTGCTTTTGCCTTGATGTCAGCCGGCACATCCATTGGCATCAACAGAGCTCCTGCATGCCCCATCGTCTTGCCCCGTGGAGCTGTTCTTCCCGCAACCATGGCGATGATCGGCTTCGGATTACGTGATTTCCTCCTATACTCCTTGATAGCCTCCGCTGCTCTAAGCTCGGCTTCGCCGCCAATTTCACCAATGACAATGATGCCCTTCGTCTCTTCATGCTCGAAGAACAACCTCAGACCGTCCAGCAACGTCGTCCCCGGCATCATGTCTCCTCCCATTCCGACGACGATGCTCTGTCCCAGCCCTGCCTTCGTTGTCGCGCCTACAGCTTCGTAACTCAGAGTACCGCTCTTCGAAACGATTCCAACTATTCCTTTAGAGTACTGCTTGTATGGCATAATGCCAATACGACACTGGTTTGGAGCGATGATTCCTGGACAATTAGGACCAACTAAGCGAGTCTTTATTTGCGTCCGCAGAATTTCCTGAACTCGAGCCATGTCATGGACGGGTACGTGCTCCGCGACGGATACGACAAGGGGTATTTCAGCTTCGATTGCCTCAGTGATGGCACTTGCTGCAAACTGCGCCGGAACAAATACGGCACTTGCATGAGGTTTCACTTTTCCCATAGCCTGAGGAATAAGTTGTCAAGAACGAACAGCCATTGGGGGGCATTGAGTAGCTTACCTCCTTAACTGTGTCAAACACAGGCAATCCTAGATGATCTTTTCCCCCCTTTCCAGGTGAGACGCCACCGACAACGTTCGTGCCATATTCTATTGTGTCTTTCGCATTCAAAGTGGCCTTAGCCGTGTCAGCTCATTGCGTCAACCTGGACAAGAAACGTGAAACCAACTCACAGCTCTTCCCGTAAACCCTGAGCCAGGCATTAGCATTCAGCCTGTTCTCTCTTAACGCTCAATGGGTCTCTACCTTGGTATATGACTCTCGTGTTCCCGTCTATTCTCAAGTTTGCATTCGTATCTTCCTCATATGACCTTTGTTTCGCGCTCGACGTTGAAAACCTCATCCGGACATTGCCAAATTGCGGTGTTTGCCGGGGCGCCTTGGCCACCTTCAGCCATTGTCGGGTGAACATGCTTGTGGAGAAGAGGGTGATAGCCGCAGAAGAAACGAATCATACAAGCACACAGTAAGATCATTCAGATAATTGAGAGAGCCGGATCCACTGAAGGTGAGTGAAATCGCATGTCCACTGCCTCGTGAAGCTGAACCTACATCGCCCCAAGGATCATCGGATCACCGTCATCGGAACTGGGGTAGTGCCTCGGCTACATACTAATACAACCGAAATGGCGCTTTTGGTGATGTCATGCTCAGGCCGTGTTATTTCCCCCGCCCCAACACCAGCGGGGCTTCTGTCGGCTACATGACACTTCTACAACCACCAGCCAGATTCACATCGAGCGGGAATTCCAGATATGTCTTGGATCAACACATAGGTTTCAGGCTGCTCTGTGAGGACGCAATCGCTCGGCGACTGGTTATTTTCCCAACTTCGGGTGGTGCGATCGGTAATGAGGTGCGTCGGCAATGGCTCCAACCCCACGTAAGAGGGCTCGGCAAGCTTGTCTCGCCTGCAATGCCAGACGGGTCAAGTGCGATGTAACCGAGAGAGTACCGTGTCGGAATTGCGCCGCCGCAAACGTGCCGTGTGAGCTCCGAGTGTCACGGCGCGGCAAACACCCGCGGCCCTCCCGGCGGCGTCCCGGACCGGATACCAATGCCTCTTCTGCGCATACAAGCCCATCGCCGGCTTTCGCCGACGACACTCTCGGCACCGTCTCCACGATCGATGATGCGGACGAGCATGTCGCTGCATCTCAAGTGCTTGCTGCACTTTCGCAGAACCGCGACCAGGAAGATTCTTTCGAAGTCTTCGAAGCTGACAGTACCATTACCGTGCGCGAGCCCGAGCCGCAAACAGTCCCGGACACAATCGATGGCAGGCAGGAAGAAGAAACATCAGTCTTCCTGGGAGAGTCGACGTCCATACGGTACGTCACTCATGGGTATCCCACTCCAGCAGGAGCCGGTGTCTCGCCGCCTGAAAACTTGAGGTTTCTCCACTCGGTGCCGAATGCTGTTAGGGCCGAGAATATGATTCCGCCTTGGGAGGTTGAGAGAAGACAGGCTCGTATACGGTCCCTCAAAGCTGAAGGCGTCTTTTCATTTCCACCAAAGCTGGCTGTGGAGGCGTTGCTTCGAGCATACTTCAAGTGGTTCCATCCATGCTTTCCGATTGTGGATGAACAGGATATATGGCATCATCATGAGCTGGAAACTCTATCTCCCCTTCTGCTCCAGGCCATGCTCTTCATCGCGGTCATCCACTGCGAAGAGGATGACTTGCCGGCACTTGGTCTTGGGAGCCGCCACATGGCCAAGTATGTGTTCTACAACAGGGCAAAAGACATCTACGACGTAGACTTTGAACCAAAGAAGTTTACAGTCACTCAGTCTTTATTTCTGTTGAGCTTCTGGCGAGCCGGTGCCCTGCTTGAGAAAGATGCGCGCCATTGGCTCGGTGCTGCCATCAGTCTCGCCCAGACGAAAGCTTTGCATCGATCGGCACCTACAAAATCATCAGATGCAGATACGGAAAAGCTTCGGCGGCGGCTGTGGTGGTCGATTTACATCAGGGAACGGCAATGTGCTGCTGCTCTAGGCCTCCCAAACCGGATAAGGGACGAAGACTGCGATATCCAGCCCCTGAGCGAACCAGACTTCGAACATGCCTTCAGCTTGTCATTAACAGCACCCCAGGCACAAGAGTATACTGCATATGTTATGGGGATGGCTCAACTCTCTCGAGTTCTGGGAAAGATTGTGCACTGTGGATATCTCCCCAGCAAGTCGCTCAGCACGAATGACCGTTTACAGATGAAGGACGATCTTGTTCGCTGGAGACAGAGTTTACCTATCGCAATGCGTGGTAGTACAGACGATATCGGAGACCTACCGGGGTTTCACTGCAATATGCTACATCTTGCATACAACAACCTCCTAATTCTCCTGTACAGGTCAGGCTGTATCGGTAGTGCAGAAGAAGGCCGAGAGGTTGACGGACAAGTCGCCCTCCAAGCTGCTGCCCGCAACTCAAGGATCATCGAGGATATGCTTCTTGAGGGGAACTTGCGACATGGTCAGATTCATGTTATTACGAACCTCTTCAATACCCTTTGCATACACACGGTCAACCTTCGAACGTCCCGGGGTACAGGTCGCGCTATTCTCGAGCACAGAGCTAAGTTGTGTCTTCTGGGCTTGCAGGAACTGCAGAAGACATGGGAGGTCAGAAATTGGGTGCTGCAACTATTTTTCAAGTACCTGGATCGGTCTACGGCGGCGAGACTCCAGATGCAGGATGACTCAGGGGTGACTGGTGGTGCAGACAAGAGTCAAGTGGGCAGCCGCCAAGACGACAGGACTTTAGACACAGGAGGCTCTCCAAGACATGAATCTGGTGGCGATATGGATGGACTTGATACTTTGCTCGCGTCGGACACGCCCTGGTCGTGGTCTACTGAAGAGGCTAATCAGTTTCTCTTCTCGCAAATCGAGAATGATTTTGCTTTTGGCGAGGGTGGAATACTCGAATGGACAAATGCGGCAGCAACTATCTAGGCCATAATAGTTTCCAATACAGGTGAAATGTTTTTTGGAAAATCGTTCTTCAATTAGCTTCCTCTTGTGTAAGCTTTGTGTAGACAATCATGGTACCCGACAGCAGATCGAAGGCTTG